CAGCCGCAGAGGGAAGCCGAGGCAAAGACCAGGACAGAAGCTTCAACATTTAGGAGAGTTGGAAAGACAACCAACACAGCTGGTCAGCCACCTTGATAAGAGCAGCCAGGCCCAGAGCCATGGCCAGGCTCCAGGACAGCAGCCCCATTCACCAGCAGAGGAGGGAAATACGTCTGGGAAGGAAGCAGGTTGTCTGGGAAGGACAGCATTGTCAATGGCCTTAGCAGTCAGGCTTCTTCATGAGCCACTTTGTCTAACCCAGGGTTGGTGTGGCAGAGGCCAATGCTGAGAGAAGGAGCTTTGGGTGGAGGACCTTAAAATGGAGCTCTGGCAATGGAAACTGGAGGAGTATGAGGTGTGAGTGAGGGAGACACAAATCAGAGCTGGAGAAATCAAGGAACAATGGGGCATGTGAACCAGTAAGCAGTAACCAGCCTTCAAGGGGGCTTAGAGCCTAAATTAGGATGATCTATGCAACTACCCCTGCATGCTGCTTTTGAGAGCATGTGGCATTAGCCAGAGATTTGCCCTCCAGACTGGCCATGGGGTCTTGCTTCCCTGCTGGGTCCTAAGGCACGAGATGGAGTGGATGAAGCGGGCTAAGCTCAGAACTACGGCCAGGCCGAGCAGGTCCTACTGCTTATATTTGAACTGACTCCTGAGGGCCACAGGACAAAGCTTTGGGGCCCATGAAAGGCTTTAACATGCGACACCTCTGAATCCTCTGGATCCGAGCACAACCCACCCGCCGGCCGGTGAACTTGTGTACAATGGGTCTGGGTCAGAGTCCTTTAGGCAGGCAGCAGTGTAACTCAGAGGAGGCAACTGGGCACTGCATGTGTGCACGTGGGGAGGATGGAGGGGAGGTGGGGGCACAAAAACAGCAGGGAACAGCTGCAGGGAGAGTTCCCTATGGGAGACCAGGTCTCTTTACAGGGAACAGGTGCCTCCCGGAGAAACTGCATGTTGGAGGATCAGGAGACAGGAAGGAGGCATCAAGGTGTTTCCCAAGAGGTATCATTTGAGGTGTATGCTTGGCCCATGATGTTTCTCTCTTGGGACATCAAGGGATTCAACACATCAAGAAGAGACTTCACTGCCCCTGCTCTGCCACCAGCTTTCAGCTGAGAGGCCTCCTCACTGACCAGGTGCCAGTCCTACTGCACAAGAAATGTGGAGCCAGGCACGTCTAGGCCTCTGTAAATCACCTGCAGACCAAGGAGAGAATTACTGGGACTCTGAAAATGATGCTGGAGGCATTTCTGGATCAGCACCTGCAGAACTGAGATAAATACTTTCCCT